GTTGATTTCAAACATGGTCTACGTAGACCCCCTAAAGAGACTCGTAGCGCAGCCATGATGACTTGTCGTCATCGTTCAATCCCAACCCTAAGGATGGCAGTCCAACACCGGGATAAAGAGAGGATTAAAGATGTGTAAGCATCTTGCCTCTGGGACCAAGGGCAATCATAAACACCCAAACATCGGCATTGGCACCGATCCTCATGGATGACGGTGACGGGTCCACGTCACACCGAGGGGCACCGCAACAATTAGCCGAACCTCGAGCACCGGACCCAGCGGGTGTTATAATCATGTGTATTCGATACCGAGACCCTGCTAAAGGCACCATCAGCATTCAATCAAACCCCAGCGGTTTCCTGGTATCCGGATACATCAACATGATAGTCGCCAAGGACACCGATCACGACTGTAAGATTAACCTCGTATAAATTATAGCAGGCAGAGCCATCCACCTGGCGGGTTCCGGGGGAGGGTCGATCAGGACCGGATACGCTCCTAAGGACACGCTAAACATATTTAATCGACTTTCACAGGTGCGTTGGGTAACACATAGGGATTTGGGTTAATAGAGCTCCATACTGGCTATGTCAACCTAGAGAAATCAGCCCCTACGGGGTAAACCTGTCCATTGTGCTTGTTTCGTTTATCCCTGGGTAGGATCCACCATCACGTGTCCCGGATCGATACCCTCCCATCATTGAAGGGTAGGGTCGAGCTACATACGGGTAACGTCTACCTAAGGTGGCGGTTGTTGGCCCCTTTTGACCTTCAGACCCCGGTGTTGGGTTGAGCCGAAGGACAAAACACACGACACGCAACGCGTCGGGACCTTAAGTGATTTAGGCGATCCTCGTGATTTAAGTCCGTCGGATAATGATCCTCTAATCTGTCGATCAATTAAGGGGGGTAAACCTTTAAATTGTGGCTCCGCATCCATGGAGGCATTGTAAAACGGATCCAATCGGGTCTGTAAGGCACCGAATGCTGGGTACCGTCTCGTAACGGGGACACGATCCTTATGGGAGGGTATTTACAATCGTGACCCGCTAGGATTGTCGTGGTTAAGGTATCTCTGACATGTCCGAGAGGCACACCCGTAAGGGGGGTTCCGGCATGGCCTACGTAAACCCTTAAAGGGTCTTCAAGAGATTCGTAGTTCAATAGGGGTAGTATACTTAGATATCTAGGGCACCAACGTTCCATTCGTAGATGAAACCAATGGTTACGATGATAAGGAAGATGTTAACCATCCAGAAGGCCTACAAGGAGTTCATACTGAACAGGATAGTAGCCTATGGGAATAGAAAGATGATTTCAAGATCAAAGATTAGGTATAGCAACCCAATGATATAGTATAGAATATCGAATTTTACACGAGCATCACCTACAGGTTCTAGACCACATTCATAGGCAGACAATTTTTCGATGATAGCACCATTGTTAATGGCACCAATCCAGAAACTTACAAGATATAGGGCGCTTACAACGCCAATTAGTACAACACTAACCAACAAGAAAGCCATAAGTATGGAGTGACTCAGCAATAAGAGACCAGTGATCTCATCCTTTTCAAACTAGCCATGTCTTTAAGGGTAATACAGGTGATGAATACAAAGATGTAGGCTTGTAGATAAGCAACTAGGATTTCCTAGGCGATGAACATAGTCTACAGTAGTAGAGGTAGAGTCAAAATAAATAGACTAGTACCTTTCAAATAGCCACCCCAGATGAATCCAATGATGACTTTAGTGACAATGTGGCCGGTGGTCATGTTAATAGCCTATCGCAATCCTAGACTTACAATTTTAATTACATATGCCTAGATTTCCAAAGCAAGCATAACAGGAACAAGACCTAGAGGAGTACCAGCAGGAATGAAGGCAGCCAATAGATAGAATTTATGAGTAGTGAAACCAATCAATAGAATACCCATCAACAAGGTCTAGGACATAGATAGGGTCATGACGATTTCAACAGTAGCAGTAGAGCTATATGGGATTAGACCCTATAGGTTACTGAATAGAATAACATGGAAGATGGTATAGATCAAAGGGAAGTAGATGGTTTTGTCTTTACCAATGAAGTCTTCGATCATGGTCAAGATGGTTCTGTATAGGGATTCGTTCAAGATACCCCACCAGCTACCAATGATACTGTAGTTACGAATGTTGGAGATAGACATGGTAATGATACTGGCTAGCAGTAGGTAGAAAATGACGTTGTTCAAAGTAAGGTTAAGAGACAATAGATTGTAGATTTCATATTGTTCCATTGGAGATAGAGACCAGATGCTGTACATAGTTCACTTTTTTTACATAGGTTCCTTGATATATACGGGATGAAGTTTAACGGAAGGCAATACATCCACGCAGGGGTTCATAAGCGATTAGCTATGCCTATGCCTAAGCAGATTCACAACCAGCCAATGGTAGTAGGAATAGGGTGATACTGGAACCGATTAGATCATCAAGACCAAAAGACAAGTTAACAAGTAGGATACCAACCGACTATAGGATCAGCTCCTAAGAGATGACAATCATGATCTAGTTTTTACCTCCATTGAAGATGAAAGCCTAGATAGCAATTACCCATAGGATGATTGCCTAGTCAATACCGAATCCATTCATATGTGTATATGTATACTAACCATCCTGCATATTTAGTCGAACATTAGATGTTACCATCATGACCGCTAACAGCGATCACACCAATCATTACGATCCACAATGTAACACCGATTAGAATCAGGGATAGAGGATAAGCAATGTAGATGACGTTACCCTAGGTTTGAATATCGGTCATGATTTTGTAATCGATAGACCAGTTAGGAATAAAGGTAGTATAAATTGCCGAATTAATAAGGAATTCAGGAGATAGATAGACGGTGACTCCGATGAAGAAGGTAAGGATCTAGCCCTAGAAGACCAGGTTCATAACGTTGAATTTGGATGGTTCAGAGGTGGTAGTGGAACCATTAAAGTTGATGTCAGAATGAGCTTGACTCATTGGAGTGTTGACCAATAGGGAAGTTTCAGTGTTCAAGATAAGTAGAGATTTAGAGTCTTCACGATCGCTTAGATTACGTGGTTCAATTTGGATCATCATAATTACGAATAGGAACTAGATGGCGATAGCACCAACATATACAATGATATATGTTAGTCCCTAGAAATAGTAGTCCTAAATAATATACATAAAGGAACCTGCCTAAAATACCACAATCAATAGTGCAATACGATGAACAGGATTCAATGCACTAATGACAATGATACTAGACTATAGAGCTACAAACCCTAGAAAGAAGTAGGTAGTACAAATAAAGGACATGGAAAATGTGTATATCTAACCGTCATGCATATAAGAGAGATGTGTCAACCAACGTAGCTTAGGTAAAATAGGTTGGTGACGATGAAGGTGGTAATGATGATACCTCCTACAATGAAAGTAATCAATACGGCAGAACTATAGGAGATGGAGATAGTCGAAGATACATATTTAGGTTGATCGTAGTTACATACTTTGATCATACTTAGATAATTACTAACGCTAATTACACTGGTAATAATGGCGATAGCAACGATAGAATAGTAATTAAAGTCTGGAGCCACCAATAGGGAATTGAAGACCTATAGTTTAGCATAGAAACCAGCTAGAGGGGGAATACCGGCGATAGAGAACATGATGATGGTAAAGGCAAGACTGATTCCACTGTTCAAACGATATAGACCTGCCTAATCATTAAATTCCAAGATGTCGGTAGTGTAAGCATCAGAAGTAGCCAAGATAATGCTGAATAGTCCCAACATACTGATGGCATATAGAATGGTATAGATGTAACAGGTAGAGTAGCTACCAACACCATAGGCCTATAGGATGAAACCCTAATGACTAATACCACTGTAGGTTAGGAATCGTTTAATACGCCATTGACTACCTAGACTAATAGATCCTACAATAAGACACTATACACCGCTCAATAGAAAGATGTATTCCTATGGTTTAAACATCTAGTTCAATTCGATCATAAAGAAGATGATGGACATTTTAGGGATGATAACCATCCAGATAGTGATATAGGTAGGGATAGCATCATATAGATCAGGAGACCAGTTATGCAATGGTACAGCACCCAATTTGAACAAGAAGGTAATGACCAACTAGTATAGAGGCCAATTACTGATGTTATAGTGGGTCAAGAAGATAGTAATAGTATCATAATGAGTACTACCAGTCTATCCATACAATAGAGCTACACCTAGTAGTAGAAATCCAGTAGTCTAAGCACTCAACAAGAAATATTTGATAGAGGCAGATAGAGATGCTTCGGATTCACTATTGATACTGACCTATAGATATAGAGAGATGTTATATAGCTCCCAAGCAATAATAGTAATCAACCAATCAGTAGAGGTCAGAAGAAAGATAACACCGATCAAGTTGGTAATCAAGATCAAGTAGAACTCGGGTTTATTACCTTTGACGTTATTATAATAGGTTTTACCAACGTAGGGACGACCAATAGAGCTAACACCACGTACCCCTCTGGAATATTGGTTCTCCTAGATAAGGATACCCAAGGTGATTACCTATAGGACGATAATGCTAAGGATGCTTTGTTGATCCTATTTGATAGTACCATCAAGAAATAGTACAGAATGCGAAACACCGTATTCGGAAGAGAAGTTCAACATGTTATATAGGGATACGTTGAACACCTAGGCAATAATAACGACCTAAAAAGTGATACGGTTAAGATAGATGTTTTTCTCCTATCGATTAGGCTATAGCTATAGAGAAATATAAATACTGGTCATCAATCCGATACCAAGAATCATAGTATAAAGATATATTAAGAGCTCCTATTACCATCTGATTAGACCAATACCAACGCAAGCGTCAGGGTACTCACATGATCTATCGTACTGATTCATACTGGACCGGGATGTCCCTCGGTTACGCTCAACTTTACTTGGAGATCCTACGGATCTGACGCCGCATGAGGATGGACGGAATCGAACCATCACAACTAGCACCCAAAACTAGTATTCTACCATTAAATTACATCCCGATGACGCTATGTAGTCTGACCACTGGTCCTTATACATCGTATTCATTTTACCGGTTTGGTCGGGGTCACCACTGTATACAAAGATTATCGAGGTCCGCTCCCATGACCAATCGCAATATCCTCTTTGGTTTGGTGGCTCCGATACGGTTATATCATGATCATTCGGTGTCGGGAACACCATGGACCCCGTAACCCTATGGGAAGGGTGTCGATATCGGAACCATTCGTCCGTTGGCTGCCCGGGACCCTATACTCGGTTATCGGTTGGTTAAGCTGCCCAATCAACGTTGTCGGAACCGTAACCATGACTGTCTGTGAACAAGGTATCAAAGCGCTCACAGATTGCCCCTGGGAACGAGCTTTGGTTACGGACAACTAGGTTTAGCCTTGGGCAAACCCCCATCAACATCCGGGGAAAGTGCAACCATCTGCATAGGGTACGGTATCCCCAACCTTGGCGGTCGACACAATCAATGGTGACGGAGCCACGTCCGGCTGTATACTGGTTATGCTAAATAGATCGTGGCCACGGTAGTTGTCACTCCACCCGGTTCCGCGAAGGTCTGGCAACCAGCAATGTCATACGTTTGACCACATGCGACATCACAATCGGAATAAAGTATAAAGAGCCAAGGCTCGATCTCCGATCTGAGAGGATTATAAAGAAGATATCCCACTAGATGAACCCCTAATACAGCGGTCCCGATGCATCTGAGCGGTGAGATCGTTATACGATGATGTGCCCGGTGAAGGTTTAAGGGTAGGATGGACACTTATGGGTGACTAAATTATCCTAGTGAGTCTTCCGGGCAACTGCTTTGATATGGATACCACTGGATACCGGGCGGAGCTACCCTAGCTAACGGGGAGCAGCTTCGCTGCTGCAGTGGGCAACATCGCTCTACTGTATCCGTTGCCATTCATCAGATCGTCATGGTTCGTCGTAGCCCTTGATGGGTAGAGCACCTTGAACATTCATCCCTCCATACCCGGAGCCCACTACGCGTTGGGTTGAAGCCTGGTCCCAGTTTCGCAATCCCTTACCACCAGTTTAAAACGACCCGTATAGGATGGTGGCCGATCCCGAAGGGTCCCAATGTCGATGTCCATAGGCCGGACAACCAACCACCGTAGTGATCATGTTATTGAGCGTATGGCCAGGGGGCAACATAAAACTGGTAGGGTGAACCGACCGCCACCACTGCAAATCTCGTATGGATGACCCTGGTGACACATAAGTATAGTCACACTTAGGAATTCAGACTACCCTACGGGTCTTAGGTTCTGCACACCATCCCAAAGGGTCATGGTTGACCTAGCCTAAACAGGTTATGACCCTATAGAGCATATGGATAGTTCGTTTGAGGAACCCTTCCACCATCCAAAGGGTGACGACAAACGATGACAGAGGCAGGGGACACCACAAGTTAGATCCGTTTGGGTTATGGCTACCACGATCCCGACGTTGGCAGAGGACAACCTATCCCATAGGAGTCGCACAATCCACGATGGTCCCGGCGACCATAACCCGGTAAACGTAAGGGTCCTGTTGTCGGGGCCACCTCGATCGGAGCGGTATGATGGTCCGTAAGGTTGGTGTTGGCTCCGGACACATTGGTCAGGCCCGGGTACGAGCTTTGGCTCCGGGTAACACCTTACGGGTCGGATTGGGGACCAGGAACATGATCAGAAGTAGAACAACATAATAGCTCTAGACAATTTAGTACGTAGGGTAGCAGGGAAAGCAATAGTTTGGCAGAACCAAATAGTGAAGGAGAAAATAGCGAACATCCAAGATAGTAGATTAATCCAATGAGTCGGGTTAAATTGAGGCATAGAATTCGTTTATATACATAGGTTCCATATTATAAGCGGTGTTTATTAACCAAGAATATCAAAGGTGAAAATGAATGGAGGTAGGAACAATAGATAGGCAATAGTGAACGGTAGGAAATGAGACCAACCTAGACGTAGCAATTGATCAAATCTTAGACGGGCAAGAGATGCACGAATCCATAGCATAAAGAAGATTAGAGGCTAGGCAGTAGCAGCACCAGATACACCGAAGAATAGAATAAAGAATAGAGTAGAGATAGTCAAGATGTTTGTATACTCAGCCTAGAAGAAATAGGCGAAGGATACAGCAGAGTGTTCAGTCATGAAACCACTAACAAGTTCCGACTCCGTCATTTTTAATTGTTGGGTTGAGGCTAACACCCACGACTTGGGATATATCATTTCGTTCTTTTGTACGGTTTATCGCTACATAACAGGGCCACCGTCGGTCCGAGCCTTGGCGTGTGACAACACCGGGCAATAAAAAATAACTCGTCCACAGCCTAGTTGGGCCTTATTTTGAAGGTAAGCATGGAGATGAATGAATTCATCTGGCGGCGGGTATGGTCAGACCACCAGCATCGTAGAGAGCCACTGGGTTAATTAACTTGTCGGAGATTTTAGCTTTAGATATCTAGATCCTCTGGCCGCGGTCGTGTAACGGTGCTACGATAATGGGTTTCGGAGCCCCATACCAAACATAGAATCGGAGCCACGATAGCGGGATGTGGTGGCACCGGCAGCAGTCTCCGATTGAGATTTGCCAATCTTGAATTTTTGGTCTGGCCTCAGGAGTGTGTTTACGTAACCCTACATCGCGGTGGCAGCTTGAAGTTGTATAGCATTTCAGCAGGGAACAAGGCTAGGAAGGAGGTCTCCAAGTATAAAATATCAGGTTCGACATAAGGAGCGTATGCATATACCGTGTCACGACAAAGGTGAAGTTATCCAGACCGTGTTTATCCATTGGACGTTGCAGTCGGACATTGCTTTTAACACCTTTAAAATGCTCCTTCATTCGGTGCAACTAGTCTTTAGCGGAACCAATATATCTTTGGCCCCTGCGGGTCGGGACGATCCACATTGCAAATGAAGGCGTAGATACCAGATTCACCATGCTACTTGGTCCAATGAGCATCCTCATCAAAGTTAATAATTGCGATGTTGCGGTGCCACTCCAACGCATCGTATAGAGTCTAGGCGGTTCTTTAATCCATGCACCTCAATAGCTTTGATAATCCCGGGGTCAATCGATTAAGCAGCGAAGCTGCTCCCATGCCATTGTATAGGACTAGATCATAGAACGCAGACCATCACCAACGATGACACTGCCAATTCTTCTCTCGTATAGTCTCTGCAGATATTAATTCCTGCTGGTAGTCCAATCTCTTATATAGTCGATGCCAATTGATTGATATCAATTGCTTGTCGGAATCGGATACCGCACAACAGTCAATAAGAGCTATAAGGTATTTCCAGCATATAGGGAGATTTTATGAGGCCAAGTCGAAAGATATAGCCTCAGGTAGATCCATAGGAGCTCTATTGGTTTCAGCAACGGCACTAATAACAAATAGGAAAGCCATAGGGAATAGAGGGAAGACTAGACTGATAGCGTGTTGACCATTCATGATCTCTAGCTAGTCTACAGTACCCTAGGTAAAGATGACAGTCAAAAAGATTAGGGATAGACTAACAGAGTAACTGATCATTTGGGCAGTAGATCTCAAAGAACCCAAAAAAGGGTATTTAGAGTTAGCAGCCCAACCAGAATAGATTACACCATAGATACCCTATTCAGAGATTGCTATAATAATCTAAATTCCACCTCCCTAGATTTCCGAAATAATCAAACCTTGATCAAGAGGCAATACTAGCCAATTCAATAGAGCCAAATAGAAGGTAAGATATGGTGCACCAAGGAACAACCAGTTAGACGATTCCTATGGTAGTACAGTTTCTTTCTATACCAGTTTCAACCCGTCCGCAACATATAGTGGATGGTGGCTCCGATAATTTAGAGCGATATTGTGGGGGTGGTGTAGGGTCGTAATAGCCTTTACCTGTATGAATAATGTTAGACAAAGCGGTGCCAACCGCTGGTCGCGGTCCCTCGGGTGATAGGCAGAAGCAATCAAATTGCTGAAGGGTTGGTTACCCGATTCAATGAATCGGCTGTACCGTTAACCTAATTGAAAGTCGTGGACCCGGTGACTTCGTAGACATACACTTTGGTTGCCCCTGGGATTGGTTGTTTATGCAGCTAGGATACGTGCCTCTTTGCTAGGACCAACACCATAGGCATGATTCAATCCATGGACCCGCACCCATTTTAGCTTGTCCCTCGGACCACCATATAGCGGTAGACAACAATCATAATGCGCGGACTATACAGATTACACCTACCAACTTAATAATATACGCCATGAAAGATAGATCATATCATCGGCCATATAGACCGCAGAACGTGTGATCGTTGAGGGCAGTTATGTCCTCCGGCCCTGCTGATTAATACATAGAGACTTATTTAAAGATTAAGCATGTTTCCGACGCCGGATCGATCTCGCGAATCTTTGAAGGCCCTATATGGTATCGTCCCAGCATATAGTTCTGTTTTACAACCGCTTGCGGAAAGAGATATGTTCATTTTAACGGTTGAAGGATACCCATATAACCAACTTTATTAGGTCCAATACGACGTTGCATACTACCCATTACTTTACGTTCTGCCTAGGTCATCTAAGCTACAGATAGGATAACGCCAATGGTAACGATTAGACCACCAATCATTAAACGTAACGTGCTCATAGGTTCCAAATAGATCATTGAGGGTGGTAGGACTCGAACCTACATAGCGATAACGCACAGATTTACAGTCTGCTGCTTAAACCAATTAAGCTACACCCCTTGATGGGAACTGGTCCCAGAGACAACCGCTGACTGTGATCAGAGGAACCGGCTCTTATGAAATTTTATTTTACCGGTTTAGCGGAGCCGGAGCCACGACCTTTAGGGAACGGCCACCGGGAACCCGTCGTGATGGTGGTCCCGCAAGTCTTAATGCAGCGCCTAACCAATTAGGCTACACCCTCCTCACAACCCTATTCGTATGGACCCTATGGTAGAGCTATCAATGTGTACACAATCAAGCTTCAAAGCCTAGTGTTGCAGACGTACTCATCGTCACCCTCCCCTATTGTCTTCGACCCTTCAGGAACGGAGCCATCATCGCGTTGGGACATGGTACCGTTGGCGGTGGGTCAAAAGGGTTATGGGCACCTTACATATGGGCGGAGCTGGAGTCACCACCAATCGTGATCTAGATGCAGCATCTTGGATGCCACCCAGGGGTCTGGTTATCACTGTACACCTCCTGGCCCTTCACCTGATCCAACAGAGCTGGTCTCTAGAGGGGGTTATATACTTCGGTTTAGACTGGACCCTGCGGGATTGGTGAAACTGGTCATGGTCTATGGTTGGATGCGGAGCCGCTGGTGGTCATACGTATCGGGTTCCGTTGGAGGGTCGTGGTGATAGCGCAAAGCGCCGCATAACCAAGGAACGGCGCGTGATGGGCCCGCAACCTGCATTGGGTTAGGTTGTCCCCCACTATGGAGCGGAGCCACCGGTAGGTCATCCATGATGATCGGAGCCAATGAGAATACCCTGCACCAATCGAGCATCGAAGATGCTGGGCTATGTTCACCCGGGACCATGACAGTACGAGCGGTACCAGGCCGAGGGGCAGTTGGGTTGAGAAAAACCACCGCCACGACCGTGGTGGCCCCGACAATCGCGCAGCGTCGGACATTGTTGCCCATCGGTGTTGTGAGCCCTCATCAGTCCCTACGGGGTCATAGTCTCCATCCGACCGTAAGGTGGCTCCGGATCAAGCATCCTAATCTACAATGTCAGAGATCCCGTTCAAGGAGCATACCACATCCGTAGGTCCATCCACCAGCGACGATGAACAAGGGATCGTGGTGGTCCCCCATGGTTATGCATCCTATTCAGCTTATAGGGTGGCACTAAACCATAGGATCGACCCTCTGGGATGGTGGTCTCGCAACCATAGATTCCGTTGTCTATAACCATGAGATCAAGCGGAGCCGGTAGTCCGACCCTCGCCCCGCACAGTGACCAATCAAGACCAACCAATATCATACCATCGCGAAGCGTCTCAATGAGCCATCCGTGAGGTCCCACAACAGATACATAAAATTACCAAGGTGGAATATCGCGCAGCGTCGGTAAACATACTGTCTCCATATTCGATACCAGATATCTTAAGTGGTAGAGTCGTAAGGGACAACCACCATCCAGAGATCGACACGAGCATGGTTGGCTCCGCTGAAGGCTTGGGTAAGCCATCTTTGATGCTGATGATTCATAGGGTAAACAGATAGTAGAGTGGTCGCACCGCCAATATAGGATATTTTTAGCTTAACCGTCCCGTAGGGTCAGGGAAGATCAACGCTTGCGAGATGAGCTCCATTGGTGCGATTAGAGCCGGAGCCACCAACCGTGTTAAGTGGATTGGGCGCTGGAGCCACGTCGCGATATCGAAGCCCTTCGGGTTGTGCCCGGTGTTGGGTTGAGAAAACACACGCCAAAGCTCGAGGTGACCCTGCTGCATAAAGTCATACGGGGCCATGTATGAACATCCTCTATCCGTTCAGTCCGCACCCTTGTAGGGTGTCTGGTGCGTCCTTCACTCTAGGTTGTCCCTGGGACTGATCACCGGGGTCACCAGCTCAATCAGTATCGGGATTACCAAGATCAGATCGCATACGCGATCGCTATCGTAGCTTACGCTTGGAGTAGATCTCTAGTATAGCACCCAAATAGCAGTAAACCATTGTCCCGGTGTTGCTCACCGCCACCAGATCGATCAAACCGGTGATGGTCCTGGAAGCGGGTTCAACATGGTGGTGGCACCGGTGAGACCAATCCAGCTTTAGGACCGGTTCCAATGATGGGTTTAGGTACGTATTAGGTTGGCACCATCTAGTCAGAGCTGAAAGCGACCTTCGGATGAGCTTAGCTCATTGGTTGCCCCTGAGTGCTGGTGTCTCCGACCACCAAGATTGGGTAACCGAACGGGTCTAGTATGGGTTTGCGAAGCCCACCATTGATGTTAGCGTATACCACAGCGGTGATCAAGGTGTAGACGCAGACCGCCAAGGTCGAGCAGAGGGGGTGCAGTATTGGCTCTAGGGCTATACCGTTACAATATAATATCCTATGAGTTACCCTGCACTGATTTACAAGTGAAGCAACCATATCGTCGCGGGACCACCGGCACCCGCTGGGTCCGGTTTCGCTTGACCGGTGGGCAACAATGATCCCTATGCTGAGCAACCAGTCTAGATAACCGAAGTTGGGTTATGGTACAGGGGTGCGGATCCATGGATACCTCAATCCCATGGTGGCCTCGGGGTCGGATGATCCCTATAGCTTACGCATTGGTTATGGTTCCCGAAGGGCCGAAGCAGGTGGGATACAGATGATACGGAGCCACGTCCACAGCGGTGATCCAGTTCTGTATATAACCATTAGGATCGTGGTATCATTGATCACATCGGTTGCAGTAAATCAGTTCTCCTAGGCTGGCGCCCCCAACATCGCAAAGCGCCGTAATCCATATGGGTGGTATCCACCTCCTTCATCCTTGCCCCCTGGTCATGATCATTACGGTTACGTGCGAAGCCTAGTCCAGATCACCGGTGGGCAACAATAAAATTAGGAACATCATGGGGGTGGCACCGGTCCGAGGGGCAACCTAGTCTGATCACTGTGACCGGTTATTAATAGACGGATCATGTTCCATGATCGGCACCGCCGGAGCCACGACAGCAGAGTTGTTATATCATATGGATCAACACCAACACCTATATAAGGTGCGAACCGAACGATGTTGTATAGATAACCCTCACCCGGCCCGGGTCCACCGACGGACGGTCTAAATTGGAGATGGTCCAACGTGTTCTAGGATAGCTTAAATGAATAGGTGTAGACTAGTAGACCGCTGATCGAGCAATGTAATAGATCGATTCGGAGCGTATGTGAGAACGGCAAGGACCGTATACCGCCTAGGGAGAGTCCAGTTCCTCTGTGGTGGGCCCCTGCAGGGACAGGAGAGGTACCATGCTTACAAATGGTGGTCGTAGCCGGGCAGTTGGGTCGGGGCCAATGCCGCCTGATCCATCTAAGTGTGATATAAGACGCTTAAAAGTCTGGTAGTATGTATAAAGTAAGGAGTGGGTAAACGATCATGTTCCATGATCTCGGGGCCACGTTATTTGGATTCCCTCTGACTCATAATACATGAGGAGATTATCCCGATCATCTGGCTGCGTGTTCTGGTCGTGGCGGTGGACAACACCGGCTCCGTTCGGTTCAAAAGTTCGGAGTGGTGAACACCCGCAAATACGGCAGCCGGGACGAGGGGCACCGAGGGGTTACCAACGCAATCGTACCCAATATCGACAAACCTATATTCAAGCATTTTAGGCCCCGATGCCTTCGCTAGGTGGTGGCTCCTCATCATCAGACCAAATACCATATGCGGCGTTAGCTACGACCACCACTAATTTTATTGTGTCGGGACCACCTCCCACCATCGCAACATTCAATCCCTATGATTCCTGATACGTTCGATACAGGGTTACGTAAACCTCTACTGATGACCGCTGGTGACCCTGATCCGATCCGAGCTTTCGCACCGGGGTGGCACCGCAACATCGTGGTTCTAGACCGGCAATGTCATCGGGACCATGGAAGGGTTTATCCGTTACGTTTATCCTGTTTAGTGTTTCCATATCGATAGTGTACCGGCTCCATAATTTGTCACCAAGGATAGGCTGGTGGCCCCGACAGAAGGGGTTCTGGTGTATGTCTCTGACATGCCTATATTACCAAGCATGGTCCTACGTAAGCATTGGGATCCCTATGGGATCTTTACAGTCGTGGCTGCACTGCCTCAAGAGACTCGTAGTTCGATATGTGTTGTGGCGGGACCACCATCATAGGGATACCCAACGAGTGGTTAGTTTGTTGTTGATTTCAGCAGTACGTGGGTTAAACACGGTAACAGCGACAACGTATAGGAAGATAACAAGGGAGATGAAGGTTAGAATAGAACCCTAACTAATTACCGAATTCCAATAAATGTAACCATCGGGATAATCAGGGATACGACGTGGCATGCCTGCAAGTCCCAACCAATGCATTGGAAGGAATACTAGGTTTACAGCCAAGGTAAAGGTAATCAATTGAACCAATGCCCATTTTTCCGAGTAATGGTAACCACTGATTTTCCCAATCCAATAATAGAAACCACCTAGAAGGCTTACTACAGCACCCAAAGATAGTACGTAATGGAAGTGACCTACTACATAGTAGGTGTCGTGCAAAGCAACATCTAGACTAGAGTTAGACAAGATTACACCAGTCATACCACCGAAAGTAAATAGAACGATAAATAGTAGGGCGTATAGGAATGGAACATAGTAATGTGGTTTACCACCGTAGATAGTACCGATCCAAGAGAAGATTTTAATACCAGTAGGTAGTGCAATGATCATGGTAGCAGAGGTGAAGTAAGCTCTGGTATCAACATCAAGACCTACGATGTACATGTGATGCAAGCGGTACGGACTATAGCTTCAGATAAGGCAGAATGAGGACGGTAGAGCAACACCGCATATGTAGACACATCTTGATTTAGGATTGATATGGGCTTTAACAGAGCCATCGGAACCGAGGGACATCGTTGGTTGCCTATTGGCCCGATACATCTAATTTAAGCCTACCCTTTAGCGCAGCCACGACAAGTCGTACCGGACCCAGCGGGTGCCGGTGGTCCCGCTCAAGTGTTCTTTGTCAGCGCCGGACGGAATAGAATTT